TAAGACTGTTGGACTAAAGGTTCATTATTACGGAGTGAAATTTCAATAAAGGCTGGGGACGGGGTTGTTGCATTTTTATAAAGGTGAAGTTTTTGTTTATGGGTATTTTCTGTAGTGATTAAAACTACAGAGTAGTTTCAGTTTAAGGGGGGAGGAATGTTATGTTGTAGCAGGGATTTGTCCACCAGGGGGCAACAGTTGTTGGAGAGTTTTCAGTCTGTGGGGCGCATGCCCCGGCCCTCTTAATAAAAGAAGTAACTGTGAGTTAAACATGGTCTCCGTGGTTCCTTAGTCCTAGGATATCACACAAAGCTGTTATAATGGCATTTAAGAGCATTATTTTCGTAATTAGAATCAAACTTATAAGAAAGGAGACAAATGAACACGAATCGGAATGATGAGAGCTGCTGATAATGAAAGAAAGCATCTTTGGAAAAAAATAGCTGAGGAGAATTTTTTTTTATTTTAGTTTGACCCCAGTCCCATCTGCTAACATGGAGGAGGCGGGGTTTATGACCTATACTGCAGCCAAAAATGAAACCATTTTTAAATGGTTTCATTTTCAGGGAGCTACGTTGTCCATGTTTTCTACAGTCATTAGATCAAACAGTAACAGACACCAGGACTGATAAGGAGAATGAGCAGCTACTTTTCTGCAGATGTTATCTCCACACAGGAAGCTGGGAAGCGTCTCAAAGTCGATCTGAGGTAAGTTGAGTAGGTGAGAATCCTTCCAGAGAAATCTGTACATGTGTGAGCAAGATCGCTCTGATCACGCTGTGTTGGATCACTGACTGAACAGGAGAACTGTTTCTTGATTGGCTGTTTGCTGACTTAATGTATAAAATGTAAAGTTTCTCTCCAGGTGTACTACAACATATACACACACACACGCGCGCGCGCAGTCATAACCGTGTGTGAGGTTTAGTAAAAAGTGCTTTGCACCCTCAGAAGTGGAAACGTGTTTCAACAGCCCATTTATGACGGTTATTGGTGATCAGCACATAAAGCAAACAGTTTCACTATGATCAAATTTCAAAAAGCTCAGTATGTGTGGGAACTGCCTGAAGGTCAAACTGAAACTACCAACACTGCGCCAGGAGTGTTGGTAGTTTTCACGTCCCAAAGGACTAAATGTTCTTATTAAATAGAAATATTGTCAGTGTTCAAATTCACTGTCTTCTGTCATGTTTTAACTATGGGTGGGACTAGTTAAAATGACTAGCTTGTGCTTTTGTTTGTCTAAAGCAGCAAAAACAGCCTCTTGATTCTTTAGTAGACGAGAAACCATATCCAGCGTTAAATTCAACCGTGTGGAAACATCCTGTATGAGTGACTCTTTCTGTTGTCCCAATCTTGTTTTCTCCTGGTGTAGTTCCTCCATATTGGCAGGGCTGTCTGTAATGCATCTAATTTTGCTTGTTTTTCAGTGTCATAAAGCCTATGGAAGCCCGTTTCCGCCACTAAAAAAAAAAAAAAAAAAAAAGGATACTTAACTCGAAATTTCGAGTTATCTTTCTCGAAATTTCAACTTAGTAACTCGAAATTATGAGATAACTCA